TTACCTCTCGTGCCTCATCCAGGGCATCCTGCACTACTTTTTCACTTTCCGAGTCGAGAGCACTGGTAGCCTCGTCGAGAAGCAGTATTTCTGGATCCCTAATGAGAGCTCTAGCGATGGCTATCCTCTGTTTTTGTCCGCCGCTAAGTTGTGTGCCTTTGTCTCCGACGGGTGTCTCGTAACCCATTGGCAATGATTTGATGAATGAGTGAATGTTTGCCTTTTCTGAGGCTCTGATGATTTCGTTGAGTTCAACCTTTCGAGTGTTGTCTCCATAAGCGATATTCTCGGCTATACTGTAGCCGAAGAGAACCGGTTCTTGCGATACGATTCCCAACTTCTTTCGCAGCCACGGGATGTTTAGATTAACTATATTTTTGTTGTCCAGAATCTGTCATCAATTCAATCAAACGTTAATACATTGCAAACAAATTGATAGCGATTTAGAGGTAGATTTTGTAAAAACTATTTCATACCACTTCTCCGCCATCGATATCATAGAATCGTTGTATGAGTTGAATGATTGTACTCTTTCCACACCCACTCGAGCCTACCAGAGCTACTGTCTGTCCCTTTTTCACGTCAAAGCTAAGGCCCCGCAGTATTTTAACATTAGGACGGGTAGGATAAGTGAACTCCAGATCATTGAATTTGACATTTCCATCACAGCTGCTCGGCTTATCACCAGTCAATAGGTTGACCACTATTTTAGGCATTCTGTCCAATAATCTAAATATATGGACGGCTGCTATTCTACCCTTTTGGTAGTCGGGTGCGAATGCTGTAGAAATATAATTAATGTTTAATAATTTGTAGTTTAGAATTACTAGTGTATTAATGCATTACCGACTGCCTGTCCGACCATAGCTGTGCCAAATATGACGGCCTCAACACTCCTATTAATTATTGAATAAGTTTTAGACTTTTAGGAAACTAAACTCAGGTGAAGACTTACTTAAACAGATCTCCATAGTTGAGTCCTTCATCCACAATAAGTTTACTGCCGTACATGAGTGCGACCGCATAGGAAAAGTTACCCATACTTTGCGCGATTCCAAAGGTTATGCCTCTCAGATGGGCCCGGATTTTGGACTTTTGGAACTGCTTTTCCAGTGCTTTCATGTAATTCACAATAAATGCATTTTCCTGGTGAAGGGATGCGACCGTCCGGATACATCCAATGGCCTCAACGGCTATCTGTCCACAGAATAACATTAATGTTAATACCGTGTACTGTAGGGTACAAACACAACACAACACTAACCCTCGAGGCCTCTTCCCTTGACTTCTTATCTTTAGTGATCTGTCCGCTAATTATTCTCATTTGGAAATAAGTGGACGCAATAACCAGAGGAATGAAGCAAATGATAACAAGTCCTAATTTCCAACTGTAGTACAATGCGATGACAACACCGGCGCCCAGAGTGGAAACAGCCTGACAGAGGGTCGACATACGAGATCCAGCGGCCTATTGTTGCCATCAATTAATATATCACTTTCGCTGACAATATCCACAAAAGACTTACCCCTTGGACACTAGAGGCGTCCGATGAGAGTCGGGAACACAGGGCACCGGTACTATTGGCCTGCTCATCAAACCAGGCCACCTCTTGCTTTAACATCGCTGTGAATACCATTTTCCTGAGTCTCATTGTCAGTCGCTCACCACAAACGCCAAACATATAAATCTAATTTCAATTGTGATAACAAATTAAATTCAGTTATTATAGGAATTGGTATGACTTAGAGAATAGTGAATACCTGCAGGAATGACGCGATTCCGGTCCCAATACCCATCGCCACAAATATCATTGAATACATGAGTACATCCTCTTTAATCTTATCTGTGGATGAACTCGAAAGGGTTCCCAATATATCTCCGAATACGATGGAAAAGGCAGGTATTGTAAGACCCATGAGGAACGCCATAACAGCTCCGAGCAAAACGAGGTATTTGTCCGGTTTTAATAGACCTAATAATCGCATCAAAGGCGGCGATTCTGTTGGCTCTTTGACAACAACACTAGACATCCTTCGGATAACACTCTCTCCTCTACTTCTCTGACTCTCAATACTGAAGGCTCGCGAAAGGATTGGTTTAACTGTTTCCTCCTTCGGGAGAGTGTCCTCTTCGGGTGCGATCGTCTCGCTCTCGTCGTTCGTTTTTTGCTGAGTTTTCACTAATTTATAATACAGTCCTTNGCATACGCATCCTATTCTTCAGGGCTATCCTCCGACAAGACATCAGTTGGTTCGACACCAAGACATCCGGCGATTTTGCCACTAAAGTCACGGCGTATGCAATGCTTTAATCCTTTTATGTTTTGTCATTTGATTTATGATTAGTTTTTAGATAATTTTTATGATTTTTTTTATAAATCATAAATTAAGTGAGTGTTTATGTAATTAATAAATTTTACTTTTTTTTATTAGCGATTTGGATAAACTTCAAGAAGGTGTTGGAGATAAGGTTAGTATCAGTTTTCATAATTAAATTACAAATTTTGTAGATTAATTATAAGTTATAATTTATAACTTTGTACTAATTGTAGTGGTATAATGAATGCATGAGACAAAACTATTTTTATATCTTTTATCAAAACATAATTATCAGAAGGAATTGATAGTAAACTTTATGATGAAACAATTTATTGATTATGAAATGTCTATTTAGGTGGGACTTTGCATATTCTCCTTCTCAACAGTATTGTGTTCATTGGGAACAGCTTTTTATTATGGATGGGAACTGACACTTGTCATACTCTCAGTCACACCTGTTCTCATCATCTCATTCAGTATTATCGCAAAGGTTTGTAAACTTTTTATTTGTAATTTAATTCTCAAATCAGTAATAAATTCGTTTCCAATTGTGTCCATCAGATTCAGGCCCGATATTCAACAACAGAAGCCGATTCTTATGGCAAAGCCGGTGCTGTGGCCGAAGAGGTGTTGGGAGCCATTCGGACGGTGTATGCCTTCGATGGACAACAGAAAGAGATCGACAGATACGACAAGAACTTGGAGCCCGCGAAGAAGAGTGGTGTCAGGCGTTCACTATTCACGGCATTAGGTCTGGCAATGATGTGGTTATGCATATACTGTAGTTACGGACTGGCCTTCTGGTACGGCACTCGACTCATCATCCGTTCCGTCAATGAGAACAACCATCAGTACGAAGCGAGTACTATGTTAATCGTGTTCTTCACTGTCCTGATGGGCACCTTCAGCGTCGGTCAGACCACTCCTTACTTCGAGGCCTTCGCACAGGCGAGAGGTGCGGCCGCTCTTATATTTGAAGTGATTGAGAGAAAACCAGAAATCGATAGCAGTTCTGAAACAGGAGAACGGATTAAAGACTTGAAGGGAAGGGTAGAGATACGTAACGCACACTTTAGCTACCCGGCCAGGTCTGACGTGCCTGTCCTTAAAGGACTCAGCCTTACTGTAGAGCCCGGACAGACAGTTGCACTGGTGGGTCCGAGTGGTTGCGGCAAAAGTACAGTCATTCAACTGATTCAACGCTTTTACGACGTGACCAGTGGTCAGATGTTGATTGACGGCAAAGATATCACTTCACTGAACATCGGTTGGCTTCGGGACAACATCGGGGTTGTGGGTCAGGAGCCGGTGCTATTTGGCTGCTCTATAACCGAGAACATCAAACTGGGTTACAGTGACGCCAATCAACAGGATATAGAGTCGGCCGCAGTTGACGCCAACGCCTTTGATTTCATACAACGATTGCCCCATCAGTTCAATACTCTTGTGGGCGAAAGGGGTTCACAATTGAGTGGTGGGCAGAAACAGAGGATAGCCATCGCCAGGGCTTTAGTGAGAAAACCTAAAATACTGCTTCTGGACGAGAGTACCAGCGCTCTCGACACCCAAAGTGAGTCTGTAGTTCAGGCGGCCCTCGACAGGGCCAGTGTGGGCCGAACCACATTCATAGTCGCCCACCGATTATCGACCATTCGTTACGCCGATAAGATTTTTGTGATAAATGGCGGACAAGTGGACGAAGTGGGCAGTCATGCGGAACTCATGCAAAAGGAAGGACTGTATTATAAATTAGTGAAAACTCAGCAAAAAACGAACGACGAGAGCGAGACGATCGCACCCGAAGAGGACACTCTCCCGAAGGAGGAAACAGTTAAACCAATCCTTTCGCGAGCCTTCAGTATTGAGAGTCAGAGAAGTAGAGGAGAGAGTGTTATCCGAAGGATGTCTAGTGTTGTTGTCAAAGAGCCAACAGAATCGCCGCCTTTGATGCGATTATTAGGTCTATTAAAACCGGACAAATACCTCGTTTTGCTCGGAGCTGTTATGGCGTTCCTCATGGGTCTTACAATACCTGCCTTTTCCATCGTATTCGGAGATATATTGGGAACCCTTTCGAGTTCATCCACAGATAAGATTAAAGAGGATGTACTCATGTATTCAATGATATTTGTGGCGATGGGTATTGGGACCGGAATCGCGTCATTCCTGCAGGTATTCACTATTCTCTAAGTCATACCAATTCCTATAATAACTGAATTTAATTTGTTATCACAATTGAAATTAGATTTATATGTTTGGCGTTTGTGGTGAGCGACTGACAATGAGACTCAGGAAAATGGTATTCACAGCGATGTTAAAGCAAGAGGTGGCCTGGTTTGATGAGCAGGCCAATAGTACCGGTGCCCTGTGTTCCCGACTCTCATCGGACGCCTCTAGTGTCCAAGGGGTAAGTCTTTTGCGGATATTGTCAGCGAAAGTGATATATTAATTGATGGCAACAATAGGCCGCTGGATCTCGTATGTCGACCCTCTGTCAGGCTGTTTCCACTCTGGGCGCCGGTGTTGTCATCGCATTGTACTACAGTT